ATGATGTATTGAACTTTTCCATAACAGTTTATCATAGGCATCTGGTCTATAACATTGATACATAATCCCGTACATATTTTTCAGTGATGGATTATTTGCTGTGGTAGTGAGAGTTGCTGATCTCACTTCACTTGACTTAGTATCGATTTATTTTTCTGTTTATTTTCTCATTTTGGCTTCTATTTCTTTACACATCCTGAAATATCTAAGTGTTTGGCCAGCAAGCTTTGCATTTCCAGAAATTGCTGGGCCTCTTGTATGAGCTGCATCACAATCCATCTGCTTTTCCATGATTTGAATCCAGTGTCAAGAATCCCATAACAGAGCCCAGATGTTGAGCTCACTGCTGCATTCTCCAATGCACACAGCCCTTCAGGGATACATTAAGTCTCCTAACTGTGGAATAGAAGGAGATTCAGATCTACCTGATAAAAAAGATGATTCCCTACACAAATTCCTCACATTACTTAATTGTCAGGCCAGCACCAACTAGTAAGTGAACCTGTATATTGCTCTGATTATCCTGACATCCTGAAACCAACTATCTCCCTTAGCCTCAGTGGTGGAGAGGCTCATGATATTCCAGGACTGAATATGAAGTCAACCACCAGAAAAATCTTTATAGCCAGCAGATCCAGGGTTCCACTGGTAAGTTGTATGGCTATTGTCAGTATTTCCTGGCCCAAACATCTAATGGTAAAATTTGTACCCATAAATAATTTCTTCAGCAGAGCAGGAGGAATGATGTTTGTATGGACAAGACCACAACATTCTGAAAAGCCCTTTGAAAAATGAGCGGTTATTGATGTTCTTGTCAGTGCTGCTACCTTGAAACCAGCTCCTGATAGGTTGAACTCTGCAAGGACCTAACACTGACTATCCCTTCAGGAATTAAGACCTTTAACAAGCCTTCATAGTTCACCTATATCTCACTGATTTGTCACAGGAGTGGAGTACACTGCAGAGCCAGCATGCCTCTTCAGAAACATTAAAACTTTTTGCATAAATCAGATGACACATGACTAAAGTCTGCCTAAAGTGAAGCAGCAGTTGGAGAAATTCTATACTATTAAAGAGAAATGCCATTTCTAGTCAGAAAGTGCTTGAATTGTATCATGCCAGAAGCAGAGACAAGGTTAGACAAGTATCTTTGCAGCATCCTTTCACTGCCCTGTACTCTTTGACCACAGTGATCCTTCTGACCTCTGATCCTTCTGACCCTATCCTGAGTGGGATAGGCTCCTGTGCTACCTGGACTTCTGATCTGATCTTGCATGTGCTTAATGTTATGTTCAGTTTTTATCCTAATTCAAAATATTTTTCAGCTTGCCCATGAAAATTCTGGAACGTGGGCACCATTTTTCTCATACTGACTTGGAAGATAATGGGATAATGTAACAGGAAAAAAAAAAAAACCCAGGAGTGCTTATCTCCAGCTGGAAATGGCCCATTCAACATTACTTTATCCTCAAAAGTTTTAGTATCAATAGTAACCAGACCCCACTCTGCTACAGGGTTACTGAAATAGTTTTCCTCAGCAACACCTCACACCATCTTACCTTCTCTCCCAGATGGTAGGATAGACAGCTTTCCTTTCCATTGCCAGGTTGATTAGGTGTATCTCTAGAGGTTCCTTGGCATCTTCAGGACAGGCAGGACTTCAGTGCATTCCTCAGTGCAATCGAAGGAGCAGCATGACTAGAAGCCTTCCAGAGCTGGGCATGCTTTTTCTCTTGGTCAGCTTACCCAGAGCTCTGCTTCTTAGGAATTCAAAAGAATCTTCCAGAAGGCTTCTACTTTCATCCAGTTCTGCTTTCTTCCACAGTTTCTGCTGTCTCAGAAATAAAAACACAAAACCTGCATTTGTAGCTGTCTATTGGGCATTGTGATGGCCTTGAGGGCTCTGGCAAGGTGCTGCAGCCATCAGCAGGCTCAGGCTGGCAAAGCTTCTGGCTGCCAGGCAGGGCTCAGGGTCTCCTGCACAGAATGACACAGTGGGACAAAGTGCCTGGCTGTATAAAGAGGTGTTTTCACCAGCTTGCAGTGGGTGTTTTCACCACCAGCCCTCAGAAATGCCAGTACCAGTCTCCATGGCTCTGGCCCAGCTGTTTCCCACAAGTGCTAACGCTGTTTCCCGTGGCAGCTCTAACTCGGGGAACAGGCACCCCCACACACAGATGATTCAGCAGACATTGTACTCAATGACCTACTCCTGTCTAATGTCAGCGCTTCTAGAAAGATACATTATTTTCCTGGGGAAATCCTCCCACAAAATTCAAGGGGAAAGGCTGTATTTGATTCCTATTTCTACCTTAGTGCCTTCACGTGGTTTGGAAAGCCCATTCCAAGCCTTACTTCTTCATCTGAAGGCTGTAGCTAAACAGAACTCTGGGCATGCTGCCTTCTTAGTTGACACACACTGCCACCAGCAGCCCTTTCCAGGGAAGTAAAATATCATATCTCCATTCATTTTCCCTTTCCCAGGGATGTTCAGCCAGAAGGCTGCTATTGCCATCATGCTCATCTCAGGCATTAGTTTGTTTGTTTTTCATTATGAGTTAGAGCTTCTCCTACCTTTCTGTTTCTTTTATTTTTATTTTTTTCTTTTGTGCAGGAGACATTACTCTAGCACAAGAAACATCATTTGAATATTAGATCACTGGAGGCAGATCTGCTTTCACACTGAGTGATTATATTCATGAGAGCTGCTGGACACACTCAGCCCTCAGTCCTGCTTTAGCTGCACTCCACTTTAGAGAGGGCACTGTTCCTGTCCCTAAAACAATAGTGTTTCTTCTCCGTGAAGCAAATTAGTAGGAAAAAGTAGGGCTCTAACATGCAAACAAACCTTTTCATCTTGGTGTTTCAGCAGCTCTAACTCCTCCTTACAGACTTGGATGCTTGTCACCTTCACTGACCTGTTGACTGAAGGAACATGCGTTTTTCATCAGTCAGTTCAGACCCATCAGCCACCACAGACCACTGCTTTGCTGGAGAGTCTCCATCCACACTCTTGTTCAGAAAAGCCACAGAGCAGTGCAATGAGGTAAAAATCCCAAGGGCTGTGCAGACACCTTAGTTTTAATACCACCAGGCCCTGCATTACGTGGTCCTGGAGAACACTTCATTAGTTCCTCCATATACAGAACACATCAGATTTCTAAGATTTTAAAAAGCAAAGGTTACTAACCATTGCCTGGGTTACTGGGATGTAAAATCCATAAGAACACTTCTTCCTGCTTTTCTGGGCTCCACAGCAGCTGGCACAGCTGAGGGTGTGACGAGGGGGACAGCTCACACCAGGGCACACACCTGGGGCAGCAGTGAGTGAGGCCCCCATGACAGGAGGGCCAAACTGGTTTCAGACTTCAGGGGTCACTTACAGTTTATGCTTTGGGTTTTATTCAAAACCCAAGGGAGCCAAAATCACCCAGCTTTTTTTGACAGCCTATCACTTTCTCTAACTAGATTCATTCTACATATAGAGTCCTTTTATGTAGTGCCAGCCAAGCTACACAATTTACAGACATTGCAGGAGCTGGGTAGGCTTGCAGCGAAGTAAAGTCAACAGCTAGAGTACCAAATGCTGGCAATCACTTCTGATGCTCCCTGAAAATACATATTACCCTGGAAGATAACCACTGACACTTCTCAGATTATTGTCATTAAAGTAAACAAGATAAAATTTCAGAACACAGCAAGACCTAGTATTCTCATGCCTTTCATAGCAATGAGAACAATCAGAAATAGAAAAAATTGCCAATTTGTTTTCCTTTATTTCTTTTCACCTATTTCAGTTGGTGGATCTAAGCTCACCATCAGGGAACAAACAATAAATGAATTTACAGAAATAAAGTTTATGTTCAAAAGTGTAGATAATTTCTTCTTCATGTTCTCAAACTCTCCTTATTACTTTGCCTCCATAGATTCTTGCACAATTTGATGTTTTTTAAAGTAAAAGGAAAATTGTACTTTATAAACAACAAAATCTACCAAAGTCTCTTTTGTGTTTTTACAGGTAGTGGTATGTTTTGCTTTTTCTTGCAAGAAGGCTCACAGATCAAGAGTTAAGCATAAAATTTTAACATCTCTGGCATGGTGTAATAGATCTCAAGTTTCTTGATGTAGTTTTAGAGCAGTAAGTTGATAGGTTTTAGCTTTAAGGACTGCAGTTTGGAGGCAAGTGGTATGGAAGAAGCAGGCAGTAGTGAAGGAGATTGGCAGTAGGGAAAGAGAATGCACTGATTCTAGGAATCCATCAGTGGGGACAATGTCTTTGGTACTGTCCTAAGCGTGCTGCAGGTTCTCCTGGTGCCAGGATCTCTGGTACTAAAGAGAGATGTCCCCTCCTTCCTGTCAGTCCCTGTTTCCATACATAAAAGGGTGCTGCCTATGTGAATAGTCTGTGTTATAACTCCAGGGTTTTGTCAAAAGAGCCTTTTGAAATCTGAATACTCAAAAGTTCTCTGACAGATATGGCTGGCAAGCAAGAATCCCATTTGTAAAAAAAAGCCCTGTAGATTTCAGCACTTAGAATTTGTCTCTTTCATGCCCTGATTTAATTAAATCCTCCTTTGCTAAGGAACCTTCTGAGGAAAAAATAAAGTTTGGCTGAAACATGTTTCTTGAAACATGGTGGTTTGGTTGAAACATGGTGGAAGCATAAATGTACTAAGACACAGTAAAAACATTACAAACTAGACATGGCCTTTGGTTCTACTCTCAAGTTCATTTTCTAAAAGCATATTAAATCTACCCAATTATATCAGGGTGGATGATACAAAAATCCAAATATGTCCATGTGGCAGTTCTCAGTGGGAATTTAAGCTTTCATTTCACTGGAAAAAAACCTGAGTCCCCACAGATGCAACAAAAGGTACCTAGATAAAAATTAAAATAAACCTCATTTAATATTTTTAAGTTTGCAACATTGAAGTTTTCTAGATTTTGAGATATGGGAGTTTCTATAAAGATAATAATCAATTTTTACTCTGCAAAAGTATAGTAAAACAAAAAATTCAAATATTTTATTTACTTCACCTAAAAAACAAGCAACCCATGGGTAAGATATACATAGGTTTCCCAGATTTTTCCCTAATAAATTTTTTAAAGATTTATACAATTTCTACAGAAACATACAGTGTATCAAAATCTGCATAAATCAAATTTATAAAATATGTAGAAATGCATAGTGATATTATCATCAACTTACAAAGCAAGAATATGGGAATTATTTTTTTCCAAGCCAGCTATAGTAGGAAAAACTCATTACAGCAACAGTTTCTTATGATCTCATGTTTTGTAAGGTTTCAGTCTCACATACAGATTCATACTCACATACAGCATCAGCTTTCAATGAATTGCACATAATACCCATTTAAAATGCACACCCGCACAATTTATGTGCCACCATTCTTTCTCTTATGCATAGTTGTATGATTAAATTAATCTACCCAACACACAAATGGAGTCAGTTTTCACACACACGAGGAACAAGTACCAGCACAAAACCTTCTTTTCATTTTTCTTCCCAGTTTCTCCCTTCTTTATTTTCTATTTTCCATAGCTTTTAAGGATAGATGAGAAGTTTAAAGAAACTAGGAAAGATCCCAAATAGATCAGTGCTGACAGCCCTATAAAGATCCAACTCTGTCACCAAATATGATACATAACCCTTGTTAACATCAATGGAAACTGCATGCAATGCTAGTCTAGACTTCAGGGAAGTATTTAGTCGTACTTAATTGTGTGACACGTTACAGGGATAACAGTTATGGAATCAGTACACTGATGTCAACATTTAAGTTACAAAATCTAGAGAAAGGAAGTGAGGATAAGTCATTTCCTATCCACTTCTCTATTCGTTCAGAGTGAATATTTATATTCCTAAAGGAGTTTCCATCAACTCCTTTCCAGAACATTTTTAGAAACAACTTCTTCACATTCTACTCTGTACACTATAGCACCAAGCAGTTGGCTTTTCGTGTTTGCAATCCCTCTGGAGAAGTTGTGAATGACAGAAATAACAAGAAAATTAGTATGAACAAGTGTCATTTCAAGATTTCCATTTCTCTTTTGGAATCTAAATCTGGCACCCAAACTGGCTGACAGATGTCCTTGTGATGAATTACGCAGATGTGTTAAGTAGCTGGATGTTTTTTCCCTAATTAAAAGTTTTAGTCCACCTCTAAGTGATTTCCATTTAAAATAGCAGTATAAATGAAATAGTTGATTCTTTCCAAGTTTTACACAATTGTGCAGCTTGTTTGTTGTTGTTGTTGATTTAAATTATTTTTATGTAAGGCATGGTTTAAACAAGCAAATTAGTGCTTATAAATTCTTAACTGGATTCATGAGGGTGCTTACCTCCATCAAATTGTACCACATTAGCACTAAACTTGACAGTCTTCCTTCCACCATACCAAGCATTCAGCTGGAGCAGAGCAGCCAAACTGGCAATAGAAATTTGTCTTCATTAGCACAGTAATTACATAGGGTGGTACAGTTGGTCCCTACCCCTGGTGACAGCTCAGAACAACCCACTGTAAATTTCCAACAAATGCTTTCCTTGTGAAAGAGAGAAATGAAAGAGGCACTAAATATGTTGAAATTCATCTTCCAAAAAAGCAGCATGACTGTGAGAGAAGGCCACCCTGGCTAATAACCTGTGGCAGTGCTTAGTAAGATGTAAAATTAAATAAAAATATACAACAGGTTGATAATCACCAAGTTCTATGAAAATCTGATTACTACAACCTTTTCAAGTGTGTGTAAAAAAACTGCCTTCAGACCCCTGAGTGTAATCCCAAAGAAGACGACAATGCTTTTAACTATGTTCCTATGAATCATAGCTAACAGCACATTAATTTACCAACATCTTGAAACAAAAAGATGTAAACATCTACAGAGTTTAAGGTAAAGCAGTTTTGTAAACATTAACTGCGGATGATAATGTTATTGTAATAATCACAGTTCCTCTATGTCCTTCATCCAAGCCAGGAGGCTCACAGCTGTACAAAGTTAATAACTGCAGCAGTTTTCAGGCTATTTTCAGTCCTGTACAAATGAATGCGTCAGTAGGTAGGTTTTGTCTGTCTACACACTAAGGATGTTGTTCATTTCCCATTTTTGTGTTGCTTTACTGGAGTCACACTCTGAAATGAAAACTTGATGGAGGACTTCGGAGCGATCCAAGCACTTCCCTGATGGAATGTGAGTAAATCTGTGCAGATTCTGAAAGACAAAACCACCAGGAAAATGTGTTGGGTTTTGTGTTGGGTTTATTTTCATTTTTTTGGGTTTTTTTAACACTTTATTTACATCTGCAATATAGTTATTTACAAATCGAGGTTTCAGCATCCCAAACCAGATCAGATCTATGCTCATTTTACTATTTGTTAAACATAGCACTTTACAGCCTTCATATTAAATCTTTGGTTCCTGTAGGTCCTCTTGAGAAGCCTCCTGTTTCTCTTAGGCAACAAACTGCTAACAAAATGAGCAAAACTCTATCTAAAATGCTTCTAGCCTTTTCATCCATCCTGTAACCAAACTAGAAGATTAACTCTTGAGGACAGCTCTATGAGGACTTCACTGGGCAGGTCCTCCTCCAGTAAGCCCTCACAGAAAACAAATGCATGACACAAACATTAACACCACAGGAGTAAAAAAAGGTACTAACTTGTCTCCCTGTTTGGCTGGCAGAAGAAGGAGCATAAGAGTTAAGTCTGGCTTCTGGAGCAGCAGGAGGCTGCCTAAGGAAGTGCAAACCTATTGTGCCAGGCACATTCAGGCTGACTGAAACTTCCATGTCTGTCTCCTTCCACACCCACCTGCTCCCTTGCTCCACTCTCCTGCATTTGGTCTGTGACCCCGTGTGCCAGAGGCATCCCTGGCTCACTGACTCGCTGCAACCAGAGTGGAGGGGAAGGGAGCAGAAGCAAGCCCATGGCACTGCGGGGCCAGGGCTCTGCAGCCCTGCCCTGGGCACACACATACCCCTGGCATGGGGACCCTCTCCATAATCCCCCCCCCCACACACACATGTGCACAGCCAAATGTTGGTTCACATCAATACTTGGCTCCTGCTGTGTGGCCAGATATGGAGGTCCTCTAGCTGGAGAAACAAATGGATGTCTAAACAAAAGCAACAGGCAGACCACCACCAGCCCTATTCTTGATGTTTGCTTACATGCACTGAAAGCCCTGCTACTGCTCAGTGCTCAAGCAGCACATGTTACACTCACCAAACTGGCACACTGTTTCAGAGACAGCCAACTGACCAACCAGAAAAAAATCTCCTTGCAGCCTTAATTTACACAAGGCCACAACATTTTTCAGCAGTCTCTAAGTGTCTCATTCCTTACACCTTCGCCATTAGCAGAAACAGTTATTCCCTCTGTACTGCACAGCAGTGTGCCCGATTCCTAGTATTTGGTTACACACCCTTGGTGGTCCTTTCATTCTCATCCTCCCTTTTTTTTCCTTCTAGAAGCCAGTCAATGTTTTGTTCTACAGCCCAAACTGTACTTACTGGGCTTCCTTGTAACTTGTGGTAATAAGCAAACAATTACACAACTGGTGTTAGTACAGAGGAAATGGATCTTGCATAAATGAAATTCTTAGAGAGAAGCCAAGTAACATGCTGGGACACACTAGAATGGCTGGAGAGTTAAAAACTGCTACGTATTATTCTGCTGAAATATTAAAGCTCAAATTGGCACTTACCTGCCACTGCTTCTTGATTTTTACATTTCATGTTTAAAGAAATTTGTCTGTCTATCCAGCACAAGGAAGCTGAGCTGGATGGAGATGGCATTGTGGTACCTGATATTTCCTAGCTCTTTGTAAACACCAGAAAATGTGGAGCAGCTTAAAGGATAACATAGATTTCACTGCACTCAACTGTCCCTGCATCTTTCAGACAAACAATAAAGAATCCAGATAACCAGCTAATGAATTAATAAATATGCAATATGCCAGCCATATAAGCTGAAGAAAACTTTACATAGAATAGTTTCTTAGATGTAGAACCAAGTTATATGTGGCTATTTCCAAGGATAACGTCACCCCTAGAATATTCAGTCTCACTTTCTTAAAACAAAAACAGAAATAGAAACTTAGGCATAAAGCAACACTAACAAAACTTATATGAATAGAAGACTTACAGATGTAATGACTAAACAGAGTGTAGCAGTGCTCACATGTATATCAGCCAACATTCCAAGTCCTTATTAAAAATTTATCGATTTTGCAGTAGCATAAGAGCACCACACCCAGGATTAAGAACAGAGCATGTTATTGTTACTAGAGAATGGCTAACAGGAAGTGAAACACTGAAGAAGACAAAGACAACACAAAAAGACAGAGTAATCTTACGTTTACCTGCTTCTATGTAGGCTTAAAAATATCTCCAGTCTTTAAAGAGAGAAACACTCCAATTTAGACTGCCCAAAATGAGATCTAATACTGACCCTAGCTTCTAAATGCACTCCAGCCTTTAAACCATCTTCTCACAGCATATATGAGATAATGAGGCTTTCTTGATATAGAGCATACAAGCAGAGAGGGTGACGGCACTAAAAGCTTTAATAAAGTCTGTCACTAGTAGTGGACATGCTCTTTGCTTCCTCTGAGACACCTGCTAACTCGTAATATCTCTGTGGCAACAAATGTAGCCTTGTGGAGTTTTCCTTAAAGATTTTGCTACAGAAGACAGAAACTAGATTCACTAAATGAAAGGATCTTTTACTTGAAGAAGTTTTTCTAGCAAGCATATATTTCTGAGAATGTGCCATTAAAAATTTACTCAATTCAATTAACCTTGTCATAGATCTTTAACTTCAGATACACATAAAACAATTCTTTCAAGGTGCAAAAAACCCCAGTATGAAATCTAAAAATTTATTTTCTTCCATGTTTCTGTTGCATACCTTGAAGAATTGCCACTCCTTGAATTCATTCTGATTACAGTGTGTAATCATAATTTTGGATCCATCTGGTCCTTTAGTTAAGCACTGATCGTACTGCATGAGTTGATTGGCTTCGTTGATTCGGAAAAGCTAACAGAAAAGAAAAAGCCATTTTCACAACAGTTGACTCAATGAGCATTTTTATAAACACTGAAAATACAATGAAATTGCAACATTCAAAACATTTTCTGGTTTTATTACACCTGTCTTTTAGGAGGGCTCTTTATTTTGCATAACACACTTTTACTATCACAATACTAAATTTCATGGTTAACTTTCCTGTAGGACTCAGGAGGCCAAGAAACTTAACCAGCAGAAACTTAACCAGAAAGACAAAAACGGTAAAGGGATTCCTATTCAGGAGACCTTTATAAGTGTTTGATTACAAACCTTTGCATGATTTGATGGCCAAACAACCCATTATCTTTATAAAAGCCTGGTAGCAAGTCCTTGATCCTGGACAGTAATTTCATGTGAAGACACTAAAACTTTGGCATTTTTCCCATGGAGGAAATCAATCTAATTCATCCAGATACAAAAAGATTATCCTAGCTACTTCTTACAGAATAATTGCTACAAGTTTTTTGAGGTAGCATATGCAGAAAAAGTAATTTAGGAAACCTTTTCATTAAATATCAGAATAAAAGAGACATTTCTAGGGGCTACCAAGAGCTAATCTGTATAGGATTTCTAAAAACATCATCCTAAATGCACTTTTATGATTGCCATGAAAAAACTGCCTGGTTTAATTTTACATGCGCTTAAATAAGGACTTTAAATTCTGAAAAATTTTTCAACCAGTAAAGAAGATATAAAGACAGAACAGCATGTTTGTGTGGTAGTGTGGGCAGGTTTGTGAAGATACAGTTAAAACACAATAAAAGCTTGGACTGCAACCATCTAATAGTAATTATGTTCTGTCAATTAATTTGTAAATGAAGCAGAGATAAATTTCTGCTCATTTTCTTCTCTAATGTGGTGGAAGATGAGTTACTGCACAAAAGTGTTTTATGCTTAGACCGAAACAACTTTGCTACATACTTGAGCCAGAGTAAAGGCTTTTTCCCAGAAGGATTGATTATTAAGTAAAGGTAAGTGGTGAATTAGGAGCAATGCTAAGAGCTGAAGCAGTGGTACTGTTGCTTTTTCATGTACCTGCTTCCCTGAAGAATGGATTATGAATTTGCCTTCAATTTCAGACCATTTATGTTTGAAATGGTATTTTAGGAGTGCTGTATTTTATCAATATCAGTATGCTTACAGAAAACCCTAATTCCCACCTTTGTAGCTGGCACCTAGGCGACTTGATGTACAGGCTTAACAGAAAACCTGCCTGTTATCAATCCATAGCAAGCAATTCTCCTTCAGACTTGCCTCCAAGCTCCTTACCTGATTTCCTCCCATTCTGTGGCACGGCCCAAGCTCAACAAAGCCACCGTTGGTGTGCCCCATGCTGTCGATGCAGTAAGAAGTTTCAAAGCCTCTAATCTGGAAAAGAGGTTTTGCACTCTAAGTTAGTCTCAAGGGAAAAATAAGTACTGAGGAATTCATAAAATTCTCACTTATCTCTCAAACCAGAAACAGGTATCTGACAGAGATTAGACAAATCTGTGTATGAAATTTAAGTACTGATGTTAACAGTTCTGGGAAATGGAGCTTCACCTTGCCTATGCTAATTTGCAGGCTCTTCCATGAGTCAGAGTATGCTGATAAAGCCAGAGTTGCAAAGCTCAATTCCAAATTAGTAACACAAAAATATAGGACTTTCAAGTATTTTAATTTATTCAATCTCCTATCAGAGCATATTCCATCTCCCAGGTCTTCATAAATAAGCTCAGGAGCTCAGGTAAGTCGCTCTCATCTTGTGGATGAAGAGAAACAGGATGCAGAGAAGTTATGCACAGCAGCAATTACCCATAGCCAGGCACAGCCCACTGACCCAGCTGCTCAGATGGACCTTCTGCAGCAGCAATTACACAAAAAAAAAAAAAAAAAAAGAAATAAAATTGATGAGGGGCAGGCACAGGAACAGGGATAAAGAACAGAAGTCCTGTCATAAAGCACGTCTCAGCTGCTGATTATCTCATTCCCTTCTCAGAAGGGCCAACAAGCAGTCTTACAGAGACTTAACGACACAAATAACATTTTTTCCAGACCTATTTTCTTTGCCAGAGCCTTTTCCTCTTTGTAATGGTATAAAAAGTCTAAAGGACTAAGCTTAGACTCTTCCAGTGAGTGTTAGGGAGGATGAACCCCATACTTTCATACCCTAGAGTGTGGAAATGCAATCAGTGCATTTAAGGATACAAATGGGGGGGAGGGGGACAGGACTTCCTCAGATGTAGGATAACTAGAAGCCTGCGAAGAAGAGTTGAAGACTCTTCAGCTGAAGTCTCTGAACTTAGAATTTTCCTGTTGCTTCACCAGACCCACTTGCTTTTATTTGGGATGATTTCCTGCAAAGTCACCAGTATTATTTTATACTCTTCAGATGCTTTAACCTTGGTGAACAGCAACATTTAGTGTATCTTCCAAACCCTTTATGTAGATACCTGAGGAAGTCTAAGGCACATATAGTTGCTGATGCTTTGTGTTAGCTTTTAGGTAAGAAATCAAGGTGGTATTGTTCATCTGGTCCCTCAGACAAAAGATTATTTGTACCTTTTCACCACACATATGCTCTGTATCACTAATTCTAGCATTAAGAAATTATAGATAGCACTTGCTTGGTGATAGGAGACAGCAGAAATCTGTATTTTCTAATGTGCTTTTGAAGTTACAAAACCATATATCATATTCATAATATCTTGGGAAAGAAGGTTGCTAAATTTGGTGGGACACAGGAGTTCTCCTCAGCTAGCAAGGAGATTTTCTTAATTTCCCTCAACAATCTGCTATAAAAGTGAAATAAATAGCAGAGACAGGGCAAAGATGTAATCAATTGCAGAGGGGGAAAACATCGGAAAGCAGGAAGGAGACCTGCAGTATATGCTTGCCAAGGTGTGGGCTAAATGCGTTAATGAGACAGGCAGAGTTCAGTGAGGAGTCCTGCACTCACCTGTGATATGAAAGTGCTGCATTTGCAACCACATTCTTAATTTAGTGAAGTCATAATTGTACACACTAATGTGGAAAACAATGGTTACAGAATAGTATCAAATTATTACATGCAGGTAATGGACTAGCTGAGGTTGTAAATGTCTGAGTACATCCCAGTCTAGCAAACAAAGGCAGAATGAACTCCACCTGGATTTCATGAGCTCTTCTCTAGGCCTTCACACAAAAGATATTTTCAACTATTAATCTTCAACAATACTCCTATATGCAGGATTCAAATGTTTTCCTTTTGAGAAAACTTAAATTCTAATTATGGAAAATAGTGTTTTGGACAGGGCTAGACATAAATTATCCTTCAAGGATCTGTGGAACAAATTAAAAAATCACACCTGCAAAAGCAGATACAATTTTTTTCCTGGGTTACGTCTTTATAGCTCTCTGGTTAGTATCATATAGCTCAGTACAGAAGTAATCAAATAGCCTGTTCACATGTCAAGTCACAATTGATTCCTTTTAAATTAAGTTTTTTTTAAAAAAGTTCCTAAAATACATAGGTGCTACATGCTGTACCTACCTCTCCCCAGTCCACGTTTTTGGGTGGTAAGGGGTAATATGAAGTTATATCATATGCTATTTCTTCCATAAACCACTTAAAACTTTTGCAGTTGTGATCTTCACGGAATTTTTTCAGCTCAGATATATCTCCATAGGGTAGCGCTTTTGTCTCCGGCCGGCTGGCATAGAAATAATCTTTGTATTCGTCCCACCACACTTCTACAACTCTGACATAGTTCTGTGAAGGATAAAGACACTGCTGTGACCTCAAAGCACACACAAACAGGCCACAAGCAACTCCTTGTTAATAACAGAAATTTAAGGATTTATCCTCTTAGAAAGTGACAGCACAGTATAATTACATAGCACTAATAATTTGCCACTATCAGCAGACTATACAAGACACGTGAATACTATTTTCAAGTGATAGTTTAGGACTGAAGCCAGCAAATTACACTGGGCTGCTTAATGAGAATGCAAAGTCTTTTTCTAAGATTGGAGACTGTTTATTCGAAAATAAAGACTTTTCAGTTACAGGTGCAATAAAATGTTGCATTCATTTGCTTCTGTCAGAACTGCAGTTCATGGGTTTTGTTCACCTTCTATAATTTTTTTAGTGAGGAGAATGACATACATCCCACTAACAGGGAAAAAAATCAGTCCTAAGTGGGTTAGCTACTTGGGGAAGGGGGAAAATTGAATAGCTCACTGGGTAATACGCCTCTCCCTCACATCTTTCTTATTCTCTTTGATGGCTCTTATCTCTATATAACCTGCACACATTCTAGATGCACACCTCACTTTGTCCAATTCTTCCAGTATTAATTACCTGGTGTTAAAACAGACTGAAGGCACAAATTATTGTGACTTTAATCCACATCCATCATAAATTGAACAAAGCTATAAAAAAAGGACATTTATTGTGAGGCTAGGAGGGTGCCTGAAGAGGAGGAAAAGCTATTTCTACATCCCGCCTTGTACAGAGAAGCAACTTAATATTTAAGAACACTCAGCAGTGCTTTTCATATTCAGTAAGCAGGCCAGCAGACTCATGGATGGTGTTAAGATATGCAATAAATATTTTTGATCAGCTTATAAGAAGACTGAAATTATTTGTATCACTTCAGACAAAGCAAACTAGCATCTTGCCTGCACTGAGCGATAGACCTATCATTTGCTGTCCTGTTGCCCATTACTCTCTCTCTAATCCCAGATATGTTCCCCTGGGTTCCCTTGTACTGGTCCTAGTCCTTGTTTCATCAAAATGTTAATCAACTCACATTACTAATATGGGACTCTTTGTGGGGTGTGGGGATGTGGGGGTGTGTATGCCAGGTTAGTTTTTACCATTCAGCTCGGCTGGGACATTGCCTTTGGAACTAACTGTTAAGCTGGTTCAAGCCATACTCTATAATCCTACAGGTACTCATTGTCTGGGAAGATTGTTTTGGGATTGGAATTTACAAAGAACTGGGTCTTTGGGAATGGGATTTACCAATGGCCAGAACAGAGCACAGGAGAAAGCTTGAACTGGGCAATAGAAAAACTTAACAGGAGGGTTGTCTTCCTGCTGGGAGACAAAAACTGATATAAACAGTGTTTCTTGATTCAAATTCTCTCCTCAGATATGGAACTGGCTCATGTGTTTTCTGGAATTGATGTCTAATTTTAATCTCAAGGCTTGAATAACTCTTCTAGAACCTGCAGTGTACCTGAGGAGCTGTCAAGCCTCATGATGTATACCATGCAGAGCATACCATCAGCCAAGCAGAGCATACCATCCTCCCAGGTGTCATTTTCTGCTACTTAAATAACAAATGCAGACACAGAAGTCTGAGAGATGGTAGATCCCAGAATTCACTAACTTGGCCTAAGATCATACCCATCTTTATCAAAAGAATGTGCCATAGTTACTAGAGTTGTTCATATATAATTGGGCAAGTGCAGCAAAGGCTGGAGGTGCTGACATTAAGTAATAGGAAGTGCTTTTGTACCTCTAAGATAGTGGGGCAAGGCTTTAGAGCAAGAAAATGGGTTCCAAGATTCTCTACTCTTAGTAATAGTGGTATTAACACAAAGATTTCTCTCCTATGAGGATGATCATCCAATCTTAAGATACTAAATCCCGTTGGATGAAGTGCTCCCTATACTGTTACTGATAATTGAAACACATTTATCTAAAACTTTCCTTATCTGAAATCTAAAACTACCTTCAAGGTTGCTTCAAATCTGTACCTTTAGTGTAGGAGAAGACCCAACGTACACAGGGGGTGGATTTCCTTGCCAGCCCTGGAGACGATAGATGTGTCCAACACGAGAACAGGGAACAAACAGCAGTTTCCCCCCACACTGCCAGATCTACAAGTTAAAACAAAGGTATTATTAATATATCTGCACAGGATTTTCAGACAGACAGATAATAAATTATAGAAGAAATGTCAACTACATTTCTTACTATACTATCCTATATTTACATATTTTTTTGCTCCAGATGTAAGCATAAAGAAAATAGATAATTGAAATGAATGGTATACTGAGTACACTTTCAACTCAGCCAGGAAGTTACTCAACTAAAGCAATTTTTTAAAAAGCTTTTTAAAAAGTTGGGCATCTCATTCCATCACTGTTTTCGAACAACAGTAATGAACGAGTGCACAAAATCAGGAACTGGGTAGTTTTTATTATGACAGAATTATTGATATTTTGATTTTAATAAAGTAATTCACATGTCATCATTAAGATGGGTTTTTGTTAGATGCCTGTTTATATTTAAGTTTTTCTTAATAAAGATTAGTAGGAGATAAGGATGTGTTAGGTAACCCATTGCTCCAAGTAGAAATAGATATTTATTTGACTACAGTAGCTGAAAAAAAATAAAGGGTGACTCCCACATATCTCTGGATAATCCCTTAATGGGGAAAAAAAATTATACTTAAATCAGAATTTAGTTGCTCATAGTTTGGAGATGTTTAATTGTAGCACCAAATCCTAATTCAAACTAACTTTGTGAATGTTTCAAATTAGTCTAAATTCCAGACTAAAAATATGATTTACCAGTATTAGGAAAGATGGGCATAATATCTTACTTACTTCATTGCATCATGATATTAGTTTTCCTAAGTTTCATCAAAAAACCTCCTCAGGTAAGCAAGGCCATTAATTTAGTTTGCTATTCAGGAGTCAGCGCTCAAGGCTGATAAATGTTTAATTCTTCTGAAGACTGGTTGTCATCTACACAAAACCACTTTGGAGGTGTCTACATAAGGAGCATTTCAATTACAGAACTACTGTAAGTAATTTCAATCATGATTTTGATCTAAGGAAGATGGAGAAATACATGGATAAAGACCCCATGTGCATAACATCCTCAATAAGTACCCTTTGCATATGGATTTACAGCTGAGCAAGTGCACTCAGAGCTTTCCTCTAACTCATGAAGAGCAAGAGTAACTAGGGGAACTCTGAATGATCTTTCTGTAAAATTCAGCTACGATTTCAGATTGCTGCTGAGGATATAGGACATCTCCACTTTGGTCTGTTAACTGGGACTGATTCCTGCTGTCTGCACTTGTGCCATTACAAATACCGAAGCTACAAGAAGCTAATGGCGATCATCTTGTGTTTCCTGAAAACTGAAGAGCATGCTTATGCCTAGGAGTGAAAATAAAATCCTCCCCAGTGATTATGAATTATGCAGTTAGTATTTCAATTAGGAAGACTTCTCTTGTGAAGAAGTTCTTGAAATTCTGAAAATTATATTACATAATTTTTCACTCACAAAAATGGCAGGGAGGAAGCAGATTACTTTTTGTTGCACCATTATATACTTTCCAAGTGCACACACATAAGCTGTGGACTATGAAGACTATTTGTTCTCTATCACTGATTTCATTAGAAAGAACATTTTTCTATACTCATTATGTGAACATTCAGTTTCCTTCAATCAAATTTGCCAGTCTGATTTCATATTGGATAGTTGGGCAGTTAGGGGTGCAATCCCAAACTGTTTACAAAATCTAGATTACGCATAATTTGGATTTCAGCACAAAGCCACCTCTCTGAGCACTTCTGTCCCAAAGTCCACAAGGAAACACTGAGGAGACACATCTCTGTCCCATTTCCCCACACCAAAACCTGGGCTTCATGAGGAAGACGTAGGTCTGTCTAAACTCCAAACAGAAGTATTTACAGAAAAAAAAATCTATTTAATTGAATTAGTTTTCAAATATTGGTGTTACCTTGTAAGAAATTTCAAAATTTTCACCACCCCAGATTTGAAGCCCTGGATCATAGAGACCCAGTTCAAAGAAGAAGTCACGTTCAATGGCAAACAATCCACCAGCCATTGCAGGGGATCTGCAAAGAGGAAGACAGTGTAATTCCTTCTGCCAAAAGAATATATCAGCACTCAGAGAAAGTTTTAGGGAAGAAAGCAATTCAGCTAACATGTAGTAAAGATCAGGTAAATGGCAATACACTGAAAAATCATAAAGCTTTGTCATCAGCTTGCAGCAATTTTCTGAAGTGGCATGCATATAATTTTTATTGAGGTCACTGTTTTTTATTATGTTGTGGGGTTTCTTCTACCATTAATTTGTTTCTTTAATGAATTTGATGATAGAAAATCCTGGTCTGAATTTTCCATTCAGCCAGTCAAAATCCTTCTATTAAAATAAAAATCAAGATGAGAATCAGTGTGATGAGATGTTTCCCTCTTAAAATTTTTTCTAGTTTTTGAGATAATATGAAACTGCAAACAGGTTTATGTTCTGAAGAGCTGCCACATTGAAATACATTGTCTGTTAAACAAGCAACAGAGTTTTTCCAGCTTTCTGATCTTCTAGCTCTTTTCATCCTATTAGGAGACACTTTACATTATACTTGGTAAAATTTTAAAGAGGGTGTAGTTAAAGTAGTACAAGGTTTCCATTTTGATTTAGTCTTTTTGTTGTTGCCCTTTTCCTTTGTAAATCCCTCCCCATATGCCATGATTCAATTAGCAAGTTTTAATGCGTCAAAAAGATGCTGTGGTCTGGATTACAGCTTGTGCTGGTTTTGGCTGGGGTAGAGTAAATTTTCTTCCCAGTGGCTGGCATGGACTGTGTTTTGGGTTTGGGCTGAACACAGGGCTGATCATGTGGAGATGTTTTTGTTATTGCTGAGCAGGGCTTGCACAGAGCCAAGGCCATTTCTGGTTTTCACCCTGCCATGCTGGGGAGGAGACACAGCCAGGACAGGTGACCCAAACTGACCAAAGGTATATTCAAGACAATATGACATCATGCTCAACATACGAAAATTGGAGGAAAACGGGGGAATGTTTGGAGTGATGGTGTTTGTCTTCCCAAGTCACTGTTGCACATGATGGGGCCCTGCTCTCCTGGAGATGGCTGAACACTTGTCTGCCCATGGGAAGCAGTGAATTCATTCCTTGTTTTGCTTTGCTAGGGGGTGCATGTGCTGACTCTCAGCATAATTAATTATCAATTTAGTTGCTGTCCAAATTAGATGATCACGTGCCAAGGTACTGCTACATATCCCCTTCTACTTGCTGTATTTTCCTCCAACGCTGCTTTTGCATCTGGGGGGTTCAGAGGTTAAGAAGCCAGAAGACACAGCAGGGGGAAGCACTTTGCATAGCACAGCCCCGTGGCTTTCCTGCACTTTTGGTTTTCCTCAGCACCATAAAGACTTGGCAAGTGTAGAAGCCTCAGATACTGCAGTTTCAGGCTTGGCCTCCAGGATGCTGCCAAGTGTGTTAAAGAACACAGTAAAAGCCACATAAGCTCAGTAGTTTACTTGATAGGATACAAAGAGGTAAGCACTGTTACTGAAAGAAGGATTCAGTCCCGGAGCAATTCTCACGTTACAAAAGTGTTGCCTCGACGCTTTAAGCTGTAGAGGATCTTTTTGTTTTCTTTTTAAGCTAAGCAATCCTGGTTATGGTTTCAGCAAGACATTTACTTGGTCTTACTTGCCTTGGTATTGCTGCAAGAAAATGCACACAGCCTAGAGACAAACAGATGCAGGGCATGTCTCTTTATAAAGGAAGCATTGTAAATCTGAAGGTATTATTAAAAATAAAGTCATCTTTTAAAACATTCTGAGAACATGTGTTCTGTGTTTCTGGGAACAGTTTAAACGATTTTAAGACCTGTTTGGATGGTAAACACAGAACAGCAACACAGCAATGTTTGAAATAGTTTATCCCCCTCTAAGTGAATATTAAAGTTCCAATGTGGACAGCCTCATCAGAAAATGGTATTATTTAAACTGTATACAAAACAGATCAAAGCTTCATAACTTGCTCACATGTGTTGCCATTTTAGCAAAGAACAATCATGGGTGGGGATAAGGAGTTACCAACATCAGTTCTTACAACATTTAAATCATATATACAAGCAACAGAAGACATTAGATTCTGAAGATGTGAAGATTGCTTTCAAACACGATTAGTTAAGTGTGAAGGGGAAAGTAATAAAAAACCAGCAGAACCACAGTCTCCCAGTATTGAAAAGCCATCCAGAAACCAGAGTTTCTAAGCTAGGGTTTCTAGGCAGTTTTTGTTTTCTGGGAAGAAAATATACCCCACTAAAAAGCATAATAAGAAGGCAGAAATTCTGTGAAAATTATTGGAGTTTTCCCACAATGAAAGGTGCTGGCTTTATCTTTCTTCCTTTTTTTTAAAATGTTATGTGTATTATATTAAAATTCTTAGGAAATATCTAGCCAAGATCTTTAAACAGTATGCTTCTTTGTCAGATGTGATCCATTGTGAAGCAAGTGGGAGATATGTGACAAAAGGAATTTTTTTTAATATACATGCATAATCCTCCAGCTGTATGCGTGCATCAGGCCAAGACAGCAGGCTACAGATTTTATGCATTACCATCTATCAGAAATACTTCCAGCATGCTTGTTATTTCAATCCAAATGGTTAAACAAGCACTGTTGTTTCCAACAGTATTTGAAAAAAATATCACAGCTAATTAAAGTTTTCCCTGGCAACAAAGGAAAGTATACAATTATACAATATTGTACTTTGCCAAACAGAACCCAGAAATTCTAATGTGCACCCTGTTAACCACACAAGAGCAGGAATGGAGAGGCAATACAAGGTAGCAAAGATATCTTGAGCGAATAGTCAGTTGTGGCAAACAGGTCTGACTAAACAAAGCAGCTAGTGTGGTTAGAAACGTGAAGGTGCTCAGGCTAGAAGTACATGCAAGTTTTAGTGGATCAATATTGACTTCAGAAAAAAAAGAGAAACGGGTAAGTGATTTAGTGATTACCGATACGGTTCAGTTTTTGTCTTTCTGCTTTCCTTCTCTCTCTTGGTCAAGGGAACCCTCTTCCATAGCATACTCCAATCCCACGCTCCTCTAGCAAACCCATCTTCGTCACCACCCCCTTGCGGCACAATCTTAAAAGTGTTGCCATCTATGACATCTATAAGCGGCACCGTGCATGTGGTTCTGCGGGGCGGCGCGGCGCAGGCCGGGTGCGGTATGGGCAGGGCCCGCGGGGCACACGTGTGGTTCGTGGGGAGAGAGGGGTGGGGGGAAAAACGAAAGGCTTTAGACAATCATTCGTTACGATTCACAGTAATAAACAGCTCTCTTTACCGATAAGGCTCAGTTTTATGTTTTCGTTTGGACTTTTCCTTGTGGCTTAACGGAATTCGTTTCCATAGCAAACTCCAGTCCCAGGCCCCTCTGGCAAAACCATCTTCATCCCCACCTTGTTGTGGCTCAATGGAATAATCATTCCCATCTATGTAATCTATTAGAGGTACAGTACATGTAGTTCTGAAACATTTATAGAAGGGAAAGAAAGAGCAAAATACAATTTCAGAAGAATAATCTGTCTAATCTGAAATTTACACCATTAATTAAGTTTATAGAGCAGTGTATATAAAAAGTCACTTGTAAACACACTATTAAAAATGAAGCCTCATTAGAAGAAAAAAGAGATGGTCTTTAAATTGTCTTAAGATGTTCTGAAAACAAAAGTTAGGTCTGAGGTGCTAATATGTCCATTGGTTTATCAGTACATTTTCCTTTATGTGGAATTCTTGATATTGGTCTTCTAATAAAGCACTACTGGAGGCAACAGAGGAGCTCTCATGGGGCTAGAGTTCTCAGTACTATTATTTCCTGTAATTTCTATTCATATCAGATCTTAGCTGTCAACAAGTATGATAAACACTTAGCTTTTACTAGTGTTAACACAGATTTTCATTATACTGTCCTATTCAAATGCTCTGAAAAAACCCACCAAGCTCTAAGGACAAAATAACATGCTAGTGCTCTCCTAGTAGTTTTCAGTAGAACTCTTCCTGTTTGATTTGCAATACACTCCTCATTGTGATCTATCACATACAATATTCACCAAGGAAAAGATGTTATCTTGTTTTTCTCCTCACAATTTTCAACTGAGTCTCCCAGTGACCCAGGCTGGAGCACGTCCACCTTTTTAAATGACGCTCCAAGAGATGGAAAAGGCAGGGTGGAGGAGACATGTTAACACCAAGCTGTTCTTTGAGGCAGAAGCAGCAGCAGGCTGCACCCTGGGTACCAGGGCATGGAAGGAGGCTGCCAAGCACTGTCTGCTGCCATCATGTGCCCCAGCATCTCTGGTCCCCCTGCAGCCTTCCCCTCTGTGGGCAGTGCTGGAGGATGCATCTAAAACTCCCTCTTCTCACCAGTCTTTCTTGTGTAAAACAGTAACACACACTCAATGGGAGCACACAAGCATTTCCGTCTTCTCCCTACTCTCCTGTCTTGGTTGAGTTACAGCCTTTAAAACACACAAAACCCAACTCTTCAAGAGAATTCTGGTAGCATGGCATGTTAATAAATAGTTCCTAGGATTAAGCAGCTATTTTATGGGATTAAAGAGTTTAATCATGTGCATGGTTTCCTAAACACACACACCACTGACCACATAAGCCAAGAGTGCAGTAGCACACAGCAACAACAGCATTTCAACAGCAGGAAGGAATAAAAGCCCCGGGCATCTCTCTCCTCTGCCACCTCTCCCAGTGCAGGCACTTCCACCACAGACTCCTAGCAAGTGCCTGGGCCTGTGGCAGAGACAGCTTGAGACTGGCCTTGCTTTGCTACAGACAATGCTCCAAAGCACTTCAGAGGAAACAAATAAGACCAGACATCAAGACCAAAGATGAGAAAGCTATAAACTCCTGAGATCACAGGGGCTTTAAACTCCCATTAAATCAAAACATTCATTGCTAGTTTTTCTCTATCAAAAGCCAGTTGCTTTTTTTTTTGTTATTTTGTTCAATCATGTTCCTTATTCAGATAGAATGGACCATTTCAATATCAGTGCCTCAGATCATTGTAAAAGACAAGAGTTACACATAATCTACACTAGTCAGAATATTCAGTATGCCTATTAAAATAAACTACCTGGAGATCAATTTCCCTGACTATATTCCTTCCTCATTATGTATCTTTTACACTGGGAAATAATATAATCATCACACGGAATATTGATGTACTTTCATATAGATATAAAACATATCAACTGTAGTTTGAACAGTGAAGATTATTACTGTGACTTTTACTTTCTGAAAGGCCAGACACTGGAAGTAACAGGAGAATATTACCTGTCCTTAGATATAGGAGCTATAAGTGGTGCATACCAATTAATTCCCACCTCACAATGGGCATCAAGGTAAACCAAAACCTTTGAAAGAAAAAAAAAGGTAACTTATATTTCTGTATACATAATTACTTAATTATGCTTATTTACACTGAGATACATTCATATCATAAACAAGAAAATGAAGATTAAATGAGTAAAATGAATCTCTTCTTAAAACAGTATCAATAATTTCCACATGTCTATTGAAGCCACCACAACTTTTTCCCCAAAAAAAGAAAAAACAGACATACTTGTGAGTGAACTGGCTCCTACCTGTCCAAGTTTAGCCTTCTGGGCTCCAATGCTTCTAGCTTGGATCAAGCCTTCTCTCCTCTCATTTCGAAATACCTTTACAAGGCCATTCCACTGCTTTATGTAGTCATCCAGCCTCTCCTGTAAGTGTGCTATCAGATAACAAAGGAAAAATTGGGTAGTTTAATAATAAAGAGTTTTGTTCTCTTAATATGAGCCAAAAATATCTACAGACATTTACAAGAACCTTTAATTCAACCACTCACAAACACTAAAACTGAGGAGATCATTGCACAGGTTTGTGTCTGGCAATCTAAAGAAATGGCAGCTGAAGTGGTTGGTCACACCACAGGGAGCTGGGTGGACAACTCACAGTCACTTCTACATATCACAGAGTGGCTTTCAGCTTTTTGTCTGTGTTCCAAGCAGTCAGAGAAGTGTCTACACTCCAGCACACAGTCTTTCCTCATCAGATGATGTCACACGTACAGCTGAAGGCACCACTTTTCAGTTAAACATTTCCCCTCACTCACTTGCACCCTCACAAAATTTTCTGTCAGTCTACTAATGATCTGAAAACCTGAGGCAGAATCTCACCATGCTCAAATTACTACCCTCCTTCATCTAGACCTGTTCCCTCTTGTGAAGGTCTTACAATAATCTTCTAATTAAATTAATGAGAATAATTGGAGGGCCAGGAGTGCATCATACTGAGGAGACAACAAACCTTTAGCCAAAAGGACTTCAATCAGTAAAGGGACGAGTAACCACACAAGAATCAAGATGAGCTATGCTTAAATGGTTTCAGATTTGTATTTGTCTGTGCCAAACTTGTCTGGAAACCACATTCCTGCCACACGGTTTGAGATAAGGATCCTAATGTTGCTTAACATTTTTGCCCAGATGATTCTGTTGAAAAAACACACAAAGGCAGAAAGGCTGGTAACCAGGTGCCTGCTGCTTGTGGCTATGCTGATTTAGCTACTGGTGTTTGTTAAAGATCTATTTTGGTACTCAAAGGCTCAAAAGAATTGCCTACAGCTTCAGTTTCTCTCAGTCAGGAACCAAAATAAGTCACCTAATCTACAGCTAAGACATCCATGCACTGGTTTGCTTTGCACCAGCTCTGAGGGGCTCATTGCTACTATTTCTGTGATTGATGCCTTGGAGTGGCTGCCTAGAACAGAGGCTAGACAAGACTAAGAGATTAAAACGGGTATTTATTAAAGGCCTTCAATACATACATCTTACAGTCCAAGCTTCCATGAGAGGCTACACCCAAGATGGATGATGGTCACAAGTTTTTCAGACAGATATAAACTTGGTCCATTTACATATCAGGGGTTAATCCTCCAATTCTGGCTTCAGGTGATGAAGTCATATTCCCCCAGTTTGCTCCCCCCCCAATTCACTTTTGTTTATACTTTTTGGGGTCTGAGGCTGTAAGGTACCTTAGAATCTCAGGCCCAGAGGGATTGTTTTGTCTGACCAAAATGTGAAGACAATTAGCTAATGCTTTATATGGAGTTTAGAGTTATGGACTAATGCAGCACAGGATTTAAAAAATATAAAGGCTAAAATCCTAAGGCATAGTGCTGATCTAATAGGATGGGGGGGACATGCAGAGGAGGATGTCCCTTTCAACAGCAACATGCCATCAGGTTACTTCAGCTGAAACACTTTCTGCAACCTGAGTAAAAATGATGAAGTTTGGAGACCTTCACAACTGATGTTTCAGTATATTTTATATTCTTGTCAGCAGAATTAAAAATAGTAGTTTGAACAAAAGCTACATGTAGTTGAAGAGGAAATGGCGTTTCTTGGAAGTGAAGTTTCCAATATTGAAAATTCAGCAATTCTACCAAAGAATGATCTTTTGAAATCATTATCTTTTGATACTCTTATTATCCTTCCTCTCCACCTTTATAAAAGAAAGAGCTTTCTCAACCAAGTTTTATGTATTCTCCTTTCCCACACACATTTAAAATTTCTTTTGTAAATCCTTGTGCATTAGGAAAACTTCAAGGTTACACAAATGTCAAACTAGAGAAAGAACAAGTTTATCACATATGCTGTATAGAAGAACATGCCATGTAATAAATAGAGAATATGTTATTTATAGCTGTGATATAAATTTTTTATAGGAAAAAACCAACAGAGTTTTGAGGTCATACTGAAGTGGTACTAAGAGAATCTTTATACCACACCATTATTTATGCTGCAAATTCTAAGTATGTGTTACAGAAGGACTGTCAGGAATGTTCTAAAGATTTAAAATCTGAAGTTATTTCCAGTTCTCCTGCCTATGAAGCCAAATGTTTTACTTATCAAATGTTCAACTATGTGAGGTTCACAGGGAGCTATAAAAACCTATCATATTGATTGTGCAAAGCTTTTCTACAGTACAAGTCTCAGGACTTTGCAGTCCATTATCTGAAACCATGCCAGGGTTAGCAGCAAGTGCTGTTTCCCACAGGAAAGCTGAAATTTTCCTCCTTCCCATACTACAAAGCCTGCATGACAGTAGTGTAAAAAAATCCCGATACTTTTACAGTCAAAAATATTGTTTGGCCAACATTAAATTTTGTTCATCTAGAATGTGTATTTATGACATCTGTCAACAGTCTTACAGCAATCTGGTTTTTGTTCAGAAATGTGTATTTTACCTTTCAAAATATTACAATCACCAATCTGGCCTTCCCCTGTTTGAGTTCCTCTCTCATGTCTAAGTGCATGATTAAAGCATGAATCAGTGTCTTTTAAAAACACATGGTTTCTCCAAAGGATCTTAGGCACTGCAGATTGCAAAGGGGGAGGAGGATGAAAGTAGGTTTTCTTCCCCTCAGCTCATGGACAGCAGTCTGAGAATTAGACAAATGGTATCAGAACTGCTTCCTAGAGCAGCTGCTTCCTGCCTCGGAGTACCCTGGACTGTAATACTGTTAAGGTGGGGCTCTCAGCTCCAACTCAGGCACTGCTTCAGCTTCCTCATGGCAAGCACCATTACACAGGTTAATAAAAATACTGCTGCCTGCCCATGCTCGTTACTTCCCCTTTGGTTATCTCGTGGGATGATGCATCAGTTGGAAACACAGGTAACAATAAAGAACATATAAGTAAACACAAAAGGTAGACACAGCCTTTAAATGCTACTAGGAACACTGGTTTTTTTTACCTCACAGTCACCCTTTACAGGTGCATGAGCTACAAAAGCAGTTCCAGCTGAGATATTGGCCTCTCTGCTTCAGAAAACAAGCAAGCTGGTGCCCAAATACATAACAAGTGCTGGAGACCTATACACACAACTGTAATTGTAGGAAGCTTTAGAAAATACAGTTTTATGAATTCTCATTGCCCTTCCAGAACAGCTGTTTCCTTCCCACAGCTGGTATTCACAGAAGAATAAACTGCTTCTATTGAGAATAGAAGAAAAACAGGGGAAAAAAACCCCCTGTGTAACAGCCTGGCCTCATTGACACTGTGGTAGAAATTGCTGCAACATTTCTTGGACTCTAACATGAATTAATACAGAGGTCTCCATAGAAAATGGAGATAGAATTATTCAATTAGCTTGGCAATCTTCTTATTACTGTTCTCTTTGTGCTCTGACAAAGGAAGAAATGCCGGAGTAGAAATCAGCACGTATCTCTGCACAGTTCTCTACAGTCACACCCTGCTGTTTGCAGGGGAGATTAAGGGAGGAGTGTCACTCAGCAAAAGTACCGCTCCCAACTGACTTTATACTAAGAATTATAATGAAAAGGACATTTTCCAAGCATTGCAACTGTTTCTCCCTGTAAGACATAACATATATAAGCTTCTATGCAGCTGTAACTCTCTTCTGATGAAACAGGATTTCTCATAAGGAAGGACAGGCAGGGGTTTTTTGGAGCCAGCCTTTAGAAGTGCTTGCAACTGCTGTGCTCCATTTTAATTTCATGTCACTCAAGAGGGTGGCAGCTAAGAAATAAGGACAGCCACACTGAGCGTGAGCAAACATCCACCCAGTCCAGCACGTGTCACTCAGCAGTGGGCTCCAAGAGCATAAGGTGGTCTGCTGGCTGGAAAGGCAGACATGAAGTGTGCAGCCTGAAAGCAGGTGGGGAAGGAGAAAATCCTGTATCTGTGCTGTCAGCATGACTTTTCTTCTGGCTGAAAAAGCAAAAAGCAGCTCTGCTGTGATTAAAAGTGTTTGTATTTTGCAGCTCTCCTAACAACTGGAGAACTCTTCAGGCAGCTTGGCACGCTTTGCAGCCCATACTAGCTCATTCTTCTCTCTAAGGAGAAAGAAGTAGAGCAACATTCTGCTCTCTTGGCCATTTTTCTTCTAGAACATAATTTGAATTAATGAGATTAAGTTAATTATATTTACCAAGTAATAGCCTAAAGCAATTTGAAGAATTATTATGGTGAACTAATGCAATTGCAGCGAGGTGTTCAGAGTAATTCCAGTTCATGCTTGTCTTACCAGCCACCCATACCTGAGAAAACTGCACCTCAAGCTTTCTTTATTGCATTTTCTGATTTAAGAAAGTTATCTGGGAAATTGAAGTGTTAGAAATATAGTCAAGTGTGTGCTGGATCTTAGTTCTAGGCTAGCTGTGTCTGCTAACCATTTATTTATGAGCAGAAAGCAAAAATGTTCTGTATTAGAAAAAAAATCTTTGAAAGTACTGCTTTTGTTTTACAAATGTCATATATTGGAAAAATAGTACAAGTTCTATGCCAGACAAACTCATTCCATGAACTACATATACATGGCACAGAGTCAGCTACAAGTCACGTGAAACCCAAATATTGAGACCTATCATCAGTGAAAAATCTGGTAAGTATTCTAGACACAATCAGTGTCACAGTTACTTTATACAGCTAAGTCAGTCCTTGAACAGCTCTGTAGGAAAGCCATGATGCTAGCTGAAAAGCAAAAACATAGTATATGTCTGCTGACTGAATTATTTAAATTATATCCCTTAGGAAAGAAGGTATTTTTGGCTTATAGTATGTGTGTATATCTAAGCCCAATTCTCAACAGCTGTTAAAGAATACAGAAGACTATAATTTAGCACTCAATATCTTTATTAGACTAAGCCAAATGTAGTCCAGTTTATAATACAGGTAACTTGCCCTCTCCTGTGAAAACAAACAAAAAATGATACCTACCTATTGTCAGGTATGAGGCAAAAAATAACACACAATAACTATTTTTAATAGTGGCTTATACTGAAAAAAGGCTACCTCAACTATATGATGAGTTAAATTTAAAAATTTGTAGTGAGTACACCCATCGAAAACAGCTACCATGAGACTGGAACAAACCCAGATCATTTAATAAAAAGGAGAGTTTCAGAACATTCATATGTTTGCTATGTCACTACACAATTCATGTGAAAACAAAGATGAGGGTATCCTGTGCCACTGACCAAACTTGCCTTTCTCAAAGCCATCATCAACATAGTCTAGAAGAGACCGTCATTCCACACATTCAAAATCGTATTTTTATTTGTCGCCTCTTTTCTCTGTCAACATCTATTCAAGAACCATGCTGCAACAAAATCTTACAGAAAGAGCAGCCGTGATGCACTATTTTGAAATTTGTTTAAAGTTGAAAAACAGTCTGTTTTCCCCTGTCTCGATTAACTTATGTGTCTAGGAGACCACTTTCAGTTCTTCTCTGTATTTGGCCTTTTATTGCATTAATACTGACAATACCACCATGAAAGAAAAAAAAAAAACAAAACAAAACAGTGTATGCTTACATTTATAAGACAAGTACATGCATCCTGCCAATAAACCAAGACCAGAATGTAAATTACAAAGGAAGAAGAAGATCTCTGGACTTATGTTGACAGGACTCAAAGAAAAGCAGAAATTAAAACATATTCAAATTCTTAAGAAGATTCCAACCCTCAATAAGAAACAATAAGCAGCTTAATGTGATGTTAAATTTAAAGAGGATGTTAGAAATGAAAAAGATACTGAAAATTAATCTGAATAATTTAATAGCCTAAGTAGGTTTTTATCATAGTTAAAAAAAAGACATCTGTATTCCTTTATGCAATAAAGGAAGCCTGTTACTCCTAACAGGCTTAACCCCTTTGATATTCTTCAAACTACTTGTTTTCACAAGAGATAAGAGAGATACTAGCTATCCCACCTTTCTCCTACGTAGTACCCAAAACTGTGGTAGAGAACTCAAAAACTCTGAAGAAGCAATCTTTTTCCCATTAGTCAACTCAAACCATGGCAGGTAATAAATCAAAAGAAAACTATCTCAGGAAAATTAAAAAAAAAAACCTTTTCTACAAGGACTCTGTTAATATTCCAAATGTACCTTTGTTGCTAAAATCATCAATCAGAACAATTTCTGCCAAGTATTTTCTTGGTGTTCTTTTGATGACACTGTGGACTGTTCTCATGAGCGTGGACCACCCTTCATTATGGAAGACGATGACAACGCTGGAGGTGAGCAGGTTGTCATCATAATGCCAGTATTTGCATCTGTAAAAAGAGTCAATTTTATTAGTTTTCACACTGTCATTTACAGAACTTCTTAACAGCATCCTTGTGCAAATGAAATATTTGCTGACAGCTATCTTTCAGATTTAAGAGAGACAAGATATAAAAGGTAATACAGCTTCAGTGGATTACAGATAGAGATATAACTAAAAAGAAAAAAAAAATAAAAGTAGACTGGTCCAGCACAAGTTTCAGACCTGGTCCAATTTCAATGGGCTCCTTCCTTGAAAGAGATGACACATGGAGAAAAAAAAATACAAGAAAAGAGAGAGAAAAAAACCCAAACAAAAATAGTGCAGATGATTCAGGTCTTATTTCCTGAGAGGTTAGAGATGATTTAGAAACAAGTAATGTGAGTACTTCCAATACCTTCCACACTTTCCAATACCTCTAAATCACATTTATCAACAATGGATTTAATTTGCAATTGTAATGTCCATTTCCCCAACTGCACATCTAAGTGAGACTATTCACTCCCTACAACCAGTACAAGTATTTCCTTACCTGGAAGTTTCCCTACCTGATCACTAGCCTCTTTTCCAACAATAATAATATAGTTCCCATCACCAAGCATAGAGACATAGCACTTTTGATTTCAATGGGAAAAATCCTTTCTTTTTTCATCTTTCAGCAAATAAAGTCTCAACTAGTGAGATTCTGACTTTTCAAGGACAGCTGTCATGTATTAAGAAATTATTAGTGACAAATAAAAACTCCTAAATTTATAGATGCACAAATTTCCCTAGTTATAGTTCTCTTTATACAATAAAAAGCTTAAGTGCACAGAAACATTGCTGCTTTTGAAAAGAATTACCTTAATCATGAGAGATCACCAGAGTTTCTGAAACTACATTCAGTTAAACATGGAAAGTACTCACATAACACATCCATGGATATTTAAAGAGTTTCTTTAGTAAAGGATGCATTTCACTTCTCAATGAGTCAATATGCATTTCTCACCTCACAGAAAATAAAAAACATTGCTAGAAATATACTGTTAATTTTGTTTCTGTGGGAGAAGAAAATTACAGAATCAAAGCAGACTATAACAAAATTTTATCTAATAAGGAATTTTGTTTCTTAGGTGTGCTGTAAGCAACCTCTGAAACAGCACAATCTCTAAACGCACAAACTACTGACTAAAATCCCTCAGCTTGATAGGTTTTATGCCTGAAGTAGCTGCAGCTAATCATAGTTACCAATATAAAAGGGCTAGACTGGCTGTTTAAAAGTTTCAGGCCATAGAGACCTTCCTTCCACAGATCCCTCTCAAAGATTTCATTTGATTACAGATTGCAGTACTAACACTTGTAGCACAAGTGTTTAAGCTGTTAACAACTGCATCTACAGAGATAAAATGGATACCTTTACCTAGGTGTGTTAAGTAGGCTGTGTAAACAGAAGATTTAATATGTTTAGTAACAGATTTATAACAGAACGGTGTTGCTTCACACATATATTCTCAGTATTAATTTTGGTGATACGGTTACATTAAAAGGTGGAAAACAGGGTGTTATACTTTCAAAAAAACCAGCATACCAGCTGAATGCCATTCAAGATCTCCATGTCAAAGGCAGCAGAATAGCCTTCTGTCTCAAAAGAGAAGGCAGAAACTGATGCAGCTTGCACTGTACTCCCGACCTGCACCTGCTGCAGTTTAGCTAGGAAACTTTTTTGTTTATTTCTGAATAAAAAGAGAGGGACAGCTACAGTGTTTCAGAGTGCCTTCAAGGACAGAAACAAAACCTGGAAAAAGAACTAAAATCTTTTCGCTGCTTATTTCTTCCACTTCCACAAAAATTTAATCCATTTTTGAAACATAAACCCAGAGGTCTAGACAGGCTTTTTGCTATATAGCCAACTTAAATCTCCTCAAATTGGGTGTTGCTAAATGTGCCATTTGCAAGCAGTGAAACACTACATTTATATCTCTAGTAGGATCATACTTCCAGCTTTTTCCAGACACTTTATTTCACTTATTAGACAGCCCACAGACCGACTCATCAAGCCCATAAACTCTGACAGACTGCAGGAACTCCTGTACACAGTCTTTCTCATCTTGAATTGAGAATTAGAGGTTTGAAATATAGTAGTTATTTTAGATATGTGCAATTAATAAATGTTTTAATCTCTGTGGCAGATTTTTTCAATAAATATGAATGTTGCCCAAGTATTTGAGTGACAAAAGCCAGTAGCCTCAGCTCTCATTTCCTTCACATCTACAGGGAAGGAAGCAGGCAAAGCTTTCCTCAGTAGAGCCTTTCCTCAGTGGAGCAGCACTGACATCCAGTGGTTGGCAAACCACATACCAAAAAACCGATAAATGCGCTTTCCTTCTGTTTGAAGCTGAATTTTACGGTATGGGTTTCCTTGTAGACTTTAGGCACCAAAAAAGGAAAAATATGCCTAATTTTCAGGAATGCTCTTCATTTTTAAAGAGAGGGAAAAGTAGATATGAAAGTTTAGGCAAAAGCTTCAAGCTACTGAAAACTGGCACAAGCAGATTCAAAGTACAGAAGGGTCTGTGACAAAGAGGATTTAAATGTTTCAACCCCTAGCTTCACCCCCTGGGTGCTTCATCTCCTGCCCACATTCTAGCACAGTGCCCTTTCAGGTGTAGCCTGCAGGCTAGCTGCGGCAATACACTGTGAACCAAATTAGTAAACAAAATCACATTGCAGCAGATATGCAGGAATGACACAGTAGCATCCTTAAGCCGGGCTTGCCTCTAGACACTTGACATCACCTTTCCTGAGCCCTGTAAAGAGTTATGGCACGGGGAAAGAGGAACAAGCATGCACAGATTTACAAAGGGCTGGCAACACCTTCCCTGGGCAGTGCTGCAGGGAAGAGCTACTCTGTTTGTGTGCCCTTGCCTTGGGGAACTGATGGGTGAAAGGAAACAACACCTTCAGATCAGTCCACGAATAAAAACTTTCCACTCCGCAATCAGTGCTGGCACTACTGGGGAAAAACAGGAGTGACTCATCACTGAAGCAAGATGAAACTCTTCAGAAGGCAGAGTTGTGATCTAATTGAGAAACGGTGAGTAATGTTTTTCCTGTCTATTAGCCTGCATACTTAGGATGTGAATTAGCTCTACTCCCTCTCCACCCCTGGAGGGAACAGCTCTGCTGGAGCCTGTGCCATAGCAGGCTCCCTTATCCCTCAGTCACAAAGCTGTGCACCAGCCACAGCAGAGATGTGCGATTCTACAGGAGGCCCTCTGCACAAGGTGAGCATCTGGGCTGGAGTGCTCCTTGGCTTGAGGAAATTTCTGCTCTTACAGCTTTGTACTCCATTCATTGGCTTGCTCTTAGGATGTCCTGGGGCCCCACAGTCATGATTCTGGGTACATGGTCCAAGGCTGGGGTGGCCATACAGACTCCCTGTTAGCTACCACTGAAGATGCAGATATAGACTCAAATTTCCTTAGGCTTAAAAAAAGCAGAAGTCTGCTTTTCCTGCAAGAGTAATCCAACCACCAACAAAAATGCAACAGCTGAAAAAGGAGAGCACCTCGACAGCAAATTAAGAGTGAGCCACACCATACAGATACTTAGAGGGCAATTTAAGATCTTGAGCCAACAGAAGTGCTTCTCCTGTGATGCTGAACCCCTGACTGTGCCAGCGTATCAGAGCTAAGCTTCGAGGTATCATGACTGTGTAGCATGACTCTCCATTCTGCTATTATTTAACTCGTCAGCTCTCTAAGTTGCACCTGCACCTACCAAGGACTCATCAGTACTCTCTGGATTTTAAAGCACTGTACTTGTGTGCTAAGAGCAAAATGTACCAGCACAGATTCCTCCAAGAGGGCAGGCAGCTGCCATCACATTCCTATAATCACTGTAGCCAAAGAAGCTCCTGAGAAGCTAATCAGCTGTTGCAAGATGAAGGACCTGAATCAGTACAAAGCTGAAAATCTCAGTTTATTATTTATCCTGAAATCGTAACCAATACTAAAAAAATGGAATTTAACGTCTTTGCTAATATAGAACTGTTCACAATTTAAAAATTGTATTCTAAATTTTATTTCACGTTTAAAGTGGTATGAAATTCATAGTTTTATTATAACCTATTATAATTGCTTTATAGTGCATGCATTTTTCTCAACCGTTCAAAAGTGTCCAGCCCAAGCAAATTCCAAAAATAAGTTAGGAGATCTGCTTTCATTTTCAGTTTCCTTTTCTAGTCAGTCCCGTTCTTATCTTACAAGGAGACAGGCATCCAGCTGACAGCATAATGTTTACATACTTTTAATACTGAATTCAGGGCTCCTTGCTATTTTAAATTGCCAATTTATTTTGACTACTGCCATGAACTGAATCTAACCCTCAGGAAGATGGATGGGATTTTTTTTTTCACAAAACACCTTCAACTATTTGCTCATCTGTATGGTTGACATCACCAAGGTCATAGCTGAGACTGGCTGCTATGGGATCATTGCCTAAGTCTAGAGTAGACAGAAACAGATCACAGAATTTCTTTGCTAGCATACAACTAAGTAAACCTAATGCTAATGCTGGATTTGTTACCTATGAAGCCTTGCAGGGCATTTTTGTGCCCCAGCAACATCAAAATGAGATTATAGAAATGGACTTACAAAACAGGGCTTCTGGAAGAGAAGTAAACAGACAATGCAAGAAAGACAGATTGATCAGCTGAATAATTTTTTCCCCTTCAGCAGACAGCAACAAAACCTCTATTACACACTACCAAACAGTTTAAACCTATGCTGAAACAGCATTTGCTATTTTTAAAATAGCTACAAGCTTTGCCCATTTCCATTCCTGAAGTAACTTGTGAGGCTATGTGACTACATTTTATTATTAGTGCCCTTGGAATCAAAAGCTATTTCTACTGTACCTCTGAAAGCATCACAAATCCAGGGCAAGGTTTGCATAGAAACCCAACATTAGGGATAACAAGAGACTGAAAGGAATAACCTTTGCAATTTTTCTTATCACAAGATTCTTGCC